GAACGTGATTGAAAATTTATTTCTTAATTAATAATATTAATCGTTAGAAGACTAACATAATAAAAATAACAATTTTAATTAGTCAAACTGTAACAACGAGTGGAGGAGATGTAATTATATGCAATAGCGAAACAATATGGCAAACTTTGAAGAAGCAATTTTCGTTAGATGTAACAGGTAACCTATGATAGTTTGTATTACGAAGTAAGGCATCGTGTAAATGCATAAACACATTATTTGATTATACCAAGATATTCTATAGCATGTTCAGGGAATAGTACGGAAACTTAAAAGAGAGATAGAGATAGGTATGATAGATATGAAAATACAAACAAGGATAGAAGATCTTTGTTGTGTATGAAGGGTGAAATCTGAATGTTTTAAGAGAGAGAGAGAGAGAGAGAGAGAGAGAATTAACGTGCACGGGAATGTGTATATATGTGTGTATGTGTGAGAGAGACATTCATATAGAAATTATCCCACACCACTTCAACCCATTTCCATTTCACCCTAATTCACCATCATTCAAGGAACTATCTTCTGATGAATATCTCGCTTTAATAAAAATATACAATGACAAAAGACATAAAAATGATAAAATTGAGTTAAGGGGTTATATATATATATATTTTATTTTTTATTAATAATTATAATGACAAATTTAATAGAACGTTTTATTTATTGCGTAAGTAAATTCGATATAAAATTTCTTTTTAATAAAAATGAATATCAATTGCACGCTTTTGACATATGTTCGATAAAATTCGAATAAAATAGGGAACAACCAAAAAGAGATAGAGAGAGAGAGAGAGAGAGAGAGAGAGAGAGAGAGAGAGTGGATAGAATTAATATCGGGGGAATATTGTTAAGTCGATTCTTTTGTGACAATAACGAAATATTAAATCCAAATAATTTATTCCATATACTATATGTATATATATATATATATATATCGATGTGTAAAAAAATAATATTAAATAGTAGATAAAATGAATGACAATATATGAACATATAAATGTGATTACATTTAATATTATAATTTAATATTCCGTAAGATAGGATATTAAAAGAGGAAAAAAATTTTATTGAAAGCAAATCTCATTGATAAATAAATGATACCGATACGAGATATGATATGAATACTAATTAGGATAAATATTCGAATAATTTATAATTGACGAGCCGAATAAAATGAAATGAAAAAAAAAGGAAAAAAAGTACGAAGAAATTCAAAAATTTCGTTCAAATGGTTGTACGTATAAGGACCATCCTTTCTCCCTTCAACTCCCCACCCCCCACCCAACCCCCCTATATCGAGTAGAAAAGGTCAAAATGGAGTCAATTTTAAGGAAGAACGTTTTATTATGGTGGTTCGTTGGTAGCAGGAATTACGAGAAGAGGATTGACTTTAATGTCAGGATTAGGAGCTGCAAACCGAAACCCGAAGGATAATCCCTAACGGGGCGGAGTCAATTAAGTCAAGCTAAGGTATCCTATACTCTAAGGATATCCCTTTGGAATCCTTGAAATCGCTCTTCAGGATCAAGCATGTCGGACTGTTCCTATCGATTCGATCGCCATCTCGTTCCATCTTTTTCCTATATACTACTATTACTTATCTATCTTACTCTATCAATCCATTTATCTATCAATCTATCTCTCTCTCTCTCTCTCTCTCTTTCACGTAATCCTTATTTGTTCTTTTACTTTAATAAACGAACGAAAAATGTATAAAAAACGTAACTAACAGAGGCGGAAGATTTTATCTTCAAAAATTAATATTAAATTGATAATTGTGTATTAACCCTTCTTTGCATGATTTTTTCTTTTCTTTTAAAATAAATCAGGGTGATGTAATTAATGCTCTAGATTAAAGGAAAAATATTTAAAAAAATCCTAGTATTATTTTTTGACAACTGCGTTTTGTTGTACGCAATAGTCGCTTAAAAAGTTGCCAGCAACAACAAATATACAGTACAAGGGTTTTGAGTACATTTTTTTGTTGACTAAATATTATGATTGAAATTTCCATCATCATGCAAAGAAGGGTTAAACACACGAATAATAATATTATTATTATTTTTTCGGATCAGAGTAAAATAAAATACGATTATTTAGGAAACAAATTCATCAGTTGTTAATATAATTTTCGAATATTATTTATTTGTCAGTAATATAAAATAAAATTATTTAAAAATGCCTTACGTTCTCTAAAATCATATTTCTCTCTCTCTCTCTCTCTCTCTTTCTTAGACAAACAAAAAATATAAAAATAAAGTACAAAATTTCTGAAATATACTACAACCATAAAGATTTCTATCGGTTATATCATTCTCTATACCAATAATAAAAAATGATTTGAAAAGATTTACAGAGATATAAATCTACTCGATAATAAATGAACTTAATAGATATCACTTTAATGGGTCAAATAAAATCTCGGATTTATATTAATCCTAAGTTGTTCTAACACTAACCTCACCTTCTTCACATTTCTCTTTCCCAAAAAAAGAGACAGAGATAGATTGACACACAAAAAGAGAGAGAAAGAGAGAAAAAGATAGGAGATTAAGAAAAGGTAAGTTAACTTGATAATAAATGAAGTTTGAAGATCACATTTTAGAGTCGAATTAAATCTACAATTTTTGAAAGATTTTTTCTCTCTCTCTCTCTCTCTCTCTCTCTCTCTCACTCTCTCGTTCTCTCTCTCTTTCTCTTTTTCTTTCTCTTACACATCTGTGACAAGCTTCCGTAGTTTCTAACGAGTGCAGTCGACGTATTACCACGCATTCATCCTTTGTGCCAAGCCCAAAATCCCAGACTCCCAAGCAGCCAACGAACTCCTGGGTACGTTTTCCACGCGGTTATTAACGCGAAGCTGGTTATTTTCCACGTCCACGTCTCCTAACCGTTACAACGAAGTCTGGTAAATCACGCTTCGTTGGAGAATGCCTAGACTTTACTAATGTATGTGTGTGTGTGTGTGTGTATAACGCACGTATATTCGCGCGTATGCGTTTCCCGTGTCTATCTCTCATTTTCCTCCCTCCCCCTCCCCCGCGCTCTCCCCCCGTTTTTCTTTTCGCGTCTCCCAAAATTTCGCGTATTCTCTTTTACCTCTATTTTTTTTTCCCAATTTCTTTCTTTCTTTCTTTCTTTTCTACCCTTTTTGTTACAATACTTATGCGAATGATACTTTAAAAAAATTTTTAAAAAATAGAAAAAAAAAGAAATAAAAAGAAAATAAAAATATATATGTAAAAACGAAGGTGAATGACTAAAATATCTCGAAATCGATTGGTGATATTTTTTTGTTTTTTTTTTTTTATATGTATATTTTAGAATTTTGACGAAAGATTAAGAGAAAGAAAAGGAAGATAGAAAAAAGAAAGAAAAGCTTGGTGGTTGGAGGGGGTGAGCGGGAACGAAATTTGTCGTGCAATCGATTCTGAACTATTTCTATGCGCATAACGCGCGTGCAAACGTGATACGGGATTGATACGGTCCTGAATTCTATTCTGTTATCCGTGAATGATAGCAACGTATCCAGGAAACGAGTAAAAGCTACGTGAAAGCGTGATATTGAAAGGAGGAAAAACGAATGCTTTGGTATGGGGGTGGTTGGGGGGGGGGATAATACTTGGGGAGGTTGCATCGAAATCGATATGTGAATACCTATACTTACACCTTTTTTTCTTTCTTTTTTTCCTTTATTGTAAAAGGAATGATAAGATCGTACGAAAAATACCTTCGAATATTGTATTTTGATAAAAATACATTTTAACATATTTCCTTTATCATTCCTTTCTCTTTATCTTTCTTTATTTTCTTTTTAGAACAACAAGATTTCCAATAACAAATTTTTAATGATAATAAAAATCTAATATGTCGTATTAATTTTATCCTACGATTGTTGTATTGATAAAAGTGCCATTCTCTTTTCGTCTTTATTTTTTTTTTCTTTTTCGTTCTTTTCAATCTTCCTTCGGAACCAAATTTAATACCATTGAAATATTTCACATTTAATTTTACGAGTATTTGTCAATTCAATTTTAAATATTATATTAAAAGTATTTTAAAATATAAAATATTGATACGTGTCAGTTGTACATTTTCTTGTTAAAACGTTATACAAATATGTCGTGTGCGTAAACATTATTTTGTTTCGTAAGAAAATAAATTGTGAAGGAAAATATGAATATATATATATTTTCTCAAACAATAATATCTAAAATGTAGTTAGTAGAATAATCATAAGAGAAACGATTTGTCATAATGACAAGGACGAAGTAATTAATGAAATTGTTAGGAGAGACGTGATGCCTGGGAATAGTTCGTAGGGTAAAATTGTACCATATGCGGGTAGAAACTTGTACATGTATGAAACTTGATAGTGGTAGTGGTTTGGTAATTGAATCGTTCGTGGAATTCCTACGATGATTGTGGGATGGATGCTTGACGCGATATTTAGTACCGTGCTAATTCAAAACCGATCAAAATCAAATATGCCTTTATGATTAATCAAACTAATTATATAAAATCCATTACTTCCCGCGTTTCATATTCCAAACATTATTTTTTTTTAAACACATTACTATAAAACCAATTACTTCAACCAACACGTCATACTATTCCAACTATATATTACAATATATATTGTTACTATATATTACTATATATTACCAATAATTATAACAATACAATGTTGACAAGATTTAAGGAATTAATTAATTAATTAATCGACCTTTTCCAATCATTTGCTATACTTAAAAAAGAAAAAAAAAACACTCCAAACACTCTGGATCAATAAAGATTAAAAACGAAAGTTAATAAAACGAAAGATTAGTTGGTTGAAAATAATTTAGAATCAAAACGGGGGTGGAAAATAAAACGAAATGAAATATCAGTTGTTGTGACTAATGGTAAAGTGTAAAAGATAATTTGAAATTTATGAAAATATAGGATATTGGATGAATGTAATGATTGGATCAAATACTAACTGGGATCCTTGACGGCAGTGATGACGAGACGGAAGCCATTCATGTTGGTACCCCAGGCGTCGGTGACATATTTCAACGTCACGAAGTTGGTACGCGTATAAATCGCACCAACGCTGTTCTTCGTGTTTCTGCAGGACAGGTCAGCCTGAAAACAAAAGAAAGAAAAATATCCCATGTATTCGTCAGTACACTTTCTCGTTCACTTTTTTATATATATATAATATAGATATATATATATATATGTTTGTGCATACGTGAAGTGTGAAAAGATAGATAGAAAGGAAAAGAGAGAAAATACAAAAAAATATAACAACGCATGTGTGGGTGTATACGTGTGTTTCTATCTATTTATTTCTATTTCTCTATTTCCTTTTTCTCTTTTTTTCCCTTTTTATCTTTTTTAGCCCCGTACCCTTAATTCTAAAACTCGAAATTTACGAGCAGTTACGATTTTGCGTATCGTTCTGTTACGTCGCAAAGAAATAAATTTATTTCCTTGTAATAACAATTCTAGTCTGACCAATGACAATGTTTTTTCTTCATTTTTATTTTATTTTATTTTAATTTTTTTTTTTTACTCGAAATATTTGCAAATCTATATAATATTAACGTCGTTGATAATAACTACAGAAAAATATTTATTTTATCGTATAATTACTCCATCTCTCTCTCTCTCTGTTTCTATTTCAAAATAAATTTATAATGAAAATAATTCTCAATTGAATTGCACATTTATTTTGTATTAATAATATAAATT